AATTAAAATCAGAGCGAGTCCTGTAATCCTAACACTCAGGGTGGGTGAGGCAGAAGAACGACAAGTTTGAGTACCACATGGGCATGTTAGCAAAACCCTGTCTCAACATAAAAATCAAGAGCTAGGGAGCCGGCTGTGGGTCATGGTGGTGCATGCTATAATCTCAACACTCAAGAGGCTGAGTCAGGAGGATTACCACAAGTTTGAGGCCAGCCTGGGCTACACAGTGAGTTTAAGGCCAGCCCGAACTACACAAGGAGACTCTGTTTCTAAAAAAAAGGAGATGGCTGGGGATATAGGTCAATGGTAGAGCATCCCTAGGTTTGATCTTTAGTGCTAAAAAAAAAAAAATTAAATTAAGTTTCCTAACTATTCAACCTAAGGATATATTATTACTCACTCTAGGCAAGTGGGCTCATAACTACTACATGTACAAGGACATGAATTTACCTTTTATTAATATGCACAATGGAAAAATAGACAAGTCCACTTGAACAAAAACATTATATCTATCAATCATCAGAAGTTCAATGATCAATATAGTGGTAGTTCCACACCAATTTGAAGAGTTTCTTTGAATTCTTACCAGTAACACATTATTTTAAATGTTAGAAATCTGGTAGCTACTGGCAGCAAAGTAACAACTGAATCTCAATATTAATATTAATGGTAGTGATTGGCATTTTTATATGGTGTGTAAATCTTACTGAATACACATAAAAGTACAGAAAGGTAAAAGAATACACAAGCACACCTCTGGCATCCCTTCACTATAGGGGAAAATGACATAGCCCTTTTACTGCCCATTGAACTAAAGACAACTAAAATAAAATTCCACAGAGCATGGGGTTACATTTCGGCAGTCCCACCTACTCAAGAGATTGGGACAGGAGGATCACTTGAGTCTAGGAGTTAGATGCCTGCATGGGTGATACAGCCAGACCTTGTTTATTAAAAAAATAAATTTAAAACATATTTACAAATAAAAGACACTTCTCTGCTCATCTGGTTGGTCCTTTCTCTACCTACTGCAATACCTAGACACAAACAATGCACAGAAATATTAAGATAGATCTGTAGTATACATAACAAGAGTACTTAGTTCATAGAAAGAAACGGCTAAACTGAACTGTTCCATTTCTTGACGGTCAAAACAAATGATTTTGGTAGTGATGCATGCCTACAATCCCAGCACTTGGGAGGCTGAGGCTCAGGAAGATGGTGAGTTCAAGGTTAGTCTGGACTACATAGCAAGACCCTGTCTAAAAACCCAAACCAAATCAAAAGAAAAAAGATATCTTTTGTCTGCACATACAGAATACTATCAGCTTAAGCCCTGTTCATAACAACGACATGTTATTGAGCAAAAAATGCACCATTTTACTAATTTTGTAAAAATCACTAGCAGGTGGTTTCAGATATAGCTCATTGGTAGAGCATGTACTTAGCATGTGCAAGGCTCTGGATTTGATTCCTAGCAGGTGTGCATGCACACATACAGGATAAGATTTAAGTTCAGTTAGTACAATATTACATTTCTGCCACTACCATCCTGAAATTTAGAAGATGCATTCACCTAAAAAAATCTGATGATTCATATTAAATTAGAAAAATCCAGAAGAATTTTTCTGAAACAGTTACAAGCAGCATGGGTTGAATTAGGCAGATCTGGGGGCTAATTTTAGCAAAGTGATGTAGGGCAAATTACTTCACCTATCTAGCCTCTGAATTTAAACTAGTTAGTGTGTATATACCCACTAGGGTACCTATTCTATAACCTTAAGGCATTTACATTAGATAATTTCTACAAAACACTCAATGCCTAAGATGTAGTATTAGCATTTGAAAAATATCTACTATTGTCATTCCTAATTTAGAGATTTTTAGTTCAGTGGAAGAGCACTTGCAGGATGTTCTTGAGTTAGATCCCCAGAACCTCAAAAAAAAGTTTAGAGGTTAAGAGCAGAATCTGGGCCACAGAATTTAGGTTCAAATAGCAGTAGCACTGTTAAGTGATCCTAGACAGGTTACTTAACCCCTATGAGCCACACAAATTAAGATCAAATCAATTAATATATGTAAAGGGCTCAGAACAGTAACTGGAGCTGGGTGTGGCGGCACATGCCTGTAATCCCAGGACCCCGTGAGGGTGAGGAGGGAGGATCCTGGGAGTTTAAAGCCATAGTTAGTGAGTTCAAGGTCAGAATGAACTACAGTGAGACCGTCTCAAAAAATCCAAAAAAAGGAAAAAGGAACTAAGCACTATTAAGTGCTATTGTTAACATGTGGATAATTTAGGGGAAGGAAATTTTTAAAAAGGGAACCAGAACTTGCAAACTAAAAAACTCAATGAACTTTTTTTGTTTTTGTCTTTTTAAGACAGGGCCTCCCTAAGCAGTCCAGGCTGGCCTTGAGCTCACTTTGTAGCCCAGGCTGGTCTTGAACTCCAAAGGTCCTCCTGCCTCAGCCTCCCAAGTGCTGGGACTACACACTTGCGCCACCACGTCCAGCCACAATGAACTTCTTGATGTTAAAACAAAATTAAAATCAGCCAGTTCTAGCAATATCTAATTCACCGAACACTGGGGTAGGCATAATTCATCCAAAGTTAGAAGCATCTACCTAACTTCCTCAGCTAATGAATAAAAATAACAGCCACTATTTGTTGAGTACCCACTGCATATTACTGTACCTCTTAATTGCATATGCTCTGGAAAATGACCTTGGTTTGGGTTATAACTTTTCCTTTTTCAAATCTATCTCCTGCTTTGCCTGCTGGCTATGAACCCAGGTCCTTGGCAAGCTAGGCATCCACGCTATTAAGGAGCTACAGCCCAGCCTCTTTTTTTCTTTTTTTTTTTTCTTCCCCCCCCGGTAAGGGGAATCCAACTGAGGACATCCCATTTGCCAGACAGGCACTGTCCCGCTGAGCTATACCTCTGGCCTCTCCTCCTTTTAATAGCTCTGTGATTTAGCATAAGTCTGTTTATCTCCTTGAGGCTTCAGAGTCCTTATTCTACAGAATGGTAATGATCATAGCACTGTTAAAGGTTGTTTTGAAAAGTAATTAGGAGCCAGGCTTGGTGGTGCATGCCTGTAATCCCAGCACTCAGGAGGCTGAGGCAGGAGAATCTTGTGAGTTCAACACCAGCCTGGGCTACAAGGTGAGCTCAAGGCCAGCCTGAACTGCATAGCGTGACCCTGACTCAAAAAGACAAAAAGAGAAAAAAAAGAAAACTAATTAAGACTATGTATGTAAACAATGAGAGTTATTATTACTGCTCCCAGTCAGGGACCATGCAAGGGTTACCTGTGTATTCAAATAGACTGGGTTACTATCTCTTCAGTAACACCAGTAGCCAGTACTTCGCATGTATCTAAGGAAAGAGGAGCCCAGAGAGGCCACAAAGCTAATAAAACAGCACAAGCAAATGGGATTCCGTGTCAGACTTCACTAAGAACACTGCCCTTTACATTAAGTCACAAGGCCTTATATGAAACAGAATGCTTTCTTTCTTAGGGCTCAAGTGACTATTTACTCATTCAACAAACAATTACTGAAATCTTCCCGCCTGGCTTGAAGACCCAAGCCTCTAGTCCCAGTTAGTCACAGGCCTGAAGTAGGAGAGCAGCCTGAGCTCCTGAGACTGAGACCAGTCTGCACAATACAGGGACCCCAGCCCATATCAAGAAACTAATCTAATAAAATAACAAGAAGAAAACTTCCTGCTTCCCAGGCACTGTGCTATGTGCTGCATTTACAAATGGTGACTCCTACCCTTGTGAAGTTTATTTACGGGATGGGTTTGTAGCTCAGTGGTAGAGCACTTACTTAGAGTGAACAAGGCCTGGGTTCCCAGTATAGCAAAAAATACGTATTTGTTAAAGCCGAAGAGACTGTCCACAGGTAACCAGGCAGTTGCTGAATCAACAATGGCAATAACCATAATAAAGCAGGCTAAGGCATTTCACTGAGGGGGAGAGGATGAGGAAGGGACGCTGGCTATTTTAGCAAGGAAGAGGCGGGGGCACCTTGACTCATTCAAGGAAAACAAAATCAGTGAGGGTGGAGCCAAAGTATCAGAGGTTTAACTGTAGTCAGAACGTCCCGTAAAGGACCAGATTAGCATTTTTTTCTAAAACTCCCTGCAGCAAAGTGCATGGAATCCAGGCTCAAGCATATCCGAATTCAAGGCCTGCTCCTCGGGGAGATGGGAAAATGCCCCGTCTTTTGATTACTTTCTTCGCCCGCACCGTAGGCATGGTTATGGCTACCGAGGTGGTGGGGAGCATCCAAAGGGCCAATGCGAATTCCCACAAATGTGAATTAGAGCAGCTGCAGAACTACCTGCCAAGCCCGGCCCCCACGTGCCCTCCGGTGCGGGGGTCTGGGTGCGAGAGACCC